GATGGATGGCCGAAGGACAACTCCGTTCCTGATGGACACTTACTCGCCAAAGAGTTTGCAACGTTGCTGCAGTTCATTAGGCCGAACTGCTGACTGGACAGACTCAACTATTCCAGACGAAGGGGGTGACGACGCCAGAGAAGGGAATTGTCCATCTGGATTTTGAAGTCATGTTTGAGGGGGCAGAAGGACGAACGGCGTGTGTGAGCCTTCACTCACTCCTCAAGGTGAGCTAGGTATCAGAGCGTAGCAACAGCGAAAGCGACCTGAAGGCTCGCGACCGATGGCGATGTGAGCCTCCAATGGCGTCTTTGCTTGACACAGAGGGGCGGCCCAGACTGGACGGTCAGTTGGCGGTGGGAGGATGTGAATCGACCTCGATCGAGATTTGCCTTTGGTCTCCTGGTTTCATTGCCAGTGTTTCGTGCGCATCAACACACACCACCTGTTCGTTGCAGAAGGTCCATCGGGGCCAATCTCTACCACTTCAAGAAGCAGTTCAACCAGTCAGCCCAAGGTATGTCTACGGATATGGGGGGCCGCAACCTGGAAGCATCCCACGAAAAGACTCCGGCGGCCCAGCAGTGCAGCACCAAGAACACCAAGCTGGCCCTTGGCCCCCAAATGTCGGGCAAACGCAGAGGCTCCGTCTGCCCCGATTCCCCGAGAACCCACGCCAACCATTATGATTGCGGGGGTACGGAGTATCCGTAATGTGCTAACTAATAAGCAAGGCTCGCCAGGGCTTCTTCCAGCCGCCGACATTGCAGGAAGGGTCTCCCGTTTGCCGTCCCGCGTGGATTGGACTGTGGGACGAACTGACTGGGGCCAGAACTTCACGCGCACTTCCCACTAATCCAAATATCCGTGAATTACTACGGATACTGCCTGCTTGGTCATCAGTAACCGAAGATTCTGCCCCGATCCACCGACCCGAATGGAGGCATACGACGGGCCCTTGAATCTTGATGCTTGAGTTACCTTAGGTACAGTGCACCTTAGGATCCCGAGGGGGAAAAGTCCACACACACGGCACACGCCGCCGTTGGATGGCACGTTGCCCGCATTCTGCACGTCTTGCAGACTGTCAGACAGGAAAGGATCCGGCAATACGACGAACCATGGACTACGACGAACGAAATGTCCTGAAACCCGATGACCCTCCGATGCTCTCGGCCGCCGGGGGCTACCTTAGTTGGTTTAATGTTGCTTACCACGTCTGTAACTGTCTGGCCAACCAGTCGCGTGCTCTCACGACTTGGAATTCTCTAGTGAGGAGATATGACTTGGAAAGTTGGAATAAGAATTCAGTTAAAGATTCAAACGGACGAGCGGTGCATATGAGACGTTGGTTCTCGGACTGGGTCCTATCATCAACCAGTTTGGATAAGGGGTCGCGAGAAGGTGTACTGGGTGTTATGTGTACGCATGGAGTCTTCCAATGCAGATACTCCGTCTGATTTCTGCCATGGCAAACTCGTTTTTCCGCATGCTTCTCTCGCAGCATCCTTTCTCTCACAAAGTCACAAGCTCACATCTAGCACAAGATGTCTGTCTTCTTCTGCAGAATTCCAAGCTACCCACAGCAGCTGTTAAATCGGCGGCTCGGCCGAAACTCATATTGCTCCAAACGCCGCCGATTGGGACCGTTGCACGGATGGTGCCGACAGGCAGATCCCAAGCCCAGAGTTGAACGCAAGGCTATGTAATAAGCACCCAATTTCACAATCTCGTCTGGCGACCAGCCCCTCCCGAGATTTGACTTGGAGAGTCCTCATCTCCATCACGATCAGACTTTCTGCCCAGTAAATAGCGTAGCACGCAGAACGACCCCTCCACTGTCCAGTGCCCAACCCAAGCCCGCCAAACCTGTCAATAAACTTCCGCTTGAAACGGTTTTGGGCGAGTCGCCCGTGATAGCCCAGGGGTACCCGTCGACATCGACTTGCCTATTGCCTTCTAAGCGACTAAGCCTCCCGAGCCTCTCCATAGCCTGCCAAGATTGACGATTTAAACTTTAGGCACGAACCTTGTTGCTGTCAGTCGGACGGAGTTTGCATTTTTTTGCTGCTCACACACGCACACTCTGCTTCACCGCTTGGCTTCGTCTTCGTCTGTTCTTTTGCAGTCGGACAACGATTCCGTACCACAACTGTCCTCCAACATGTTTGCGATGAAGCGATGAAGGGAAACCAAACAGGCTTGAACCCCGCCGACCCCGCGACTGGGAACGGGCCCAATCCATCACATCCAGACTCCCCAGCCGTCCTTCTCTACACCATCTTCCGCCGTTGTTGATACACCACTTGCGCCCGCCAGGGAAAAATTGGTGCACGATCACATCGTACCTTGCCTACCTACGGATACACCACTTTATCCACCCCTTGCTATCTCACAAGCAGCAAGCCTCGAGAGTCCAGGGGCCATGGCGTTGGGTTTCAGATGGCGGTTAGCACGCTCAAGAGAGCAGAAGAGGGAGAGAAGAATCAGCCTTACTCTACAAAGGGTACTCCGTACACAATCTACCTCGAGGTTTGCTGGTCTTGGCCCGTTGTAGCTTGTAATTAACTCGAATAAACTTTTTGTGATGCCTTCCCAAATCGTCAAAAGATTGTCGCAGTCGACGACCGAACATGCCGTACGCTTTTTTCCTCCCAACTTTTTGGCTTTGGCACGCCGTTGCCCTACTCCAGTGTCTCTCTACTCTATCGAACCCAGGGCCCAACGTGGTCTCTTTTCTCCACGCACCACATGTCAAGAGAAACTCTCGAGAATTCCATGTTCTTCATATTAAGGGACCTGGTCTCCCGTTCCCGTCAACCTTAGTTTGTTGTCGTCTCCATCGGGTTGTTCTGGCAGCACACCGGCCGTCGTTAATTTGACATTTTGGTCCAATTTTGCAATAATCGTGTCCGCTCACTATTACACGAGTATCTCTCTCTTTCTCTCTTGCTCTGTCTCCCCTCTTTCTCTGTTGTTTTGCTACCCGTTTTGCCTCTTTCAAAGTCAAGATGAGCCGCGCCAGCAGTCGATCGTCAGACCGGCCGGCCTCGGCCGACCTCTCTGGCAGCATCTACCTCATCACCTCTGATGGCAAGACGCTCAAGCTTCCCATGCCGAGTAACTCGCCCTATGACCCGTTGAACTGGAGTTTGCCGAAGCGACTAGTCGCCATGGGAGTACTCATACTATACTCGATTGTTTCCATGCTGGAGACGCAAGCTGCCAGTTTAATGTACAAATCTCTCGCTGTCGAGTTCAACGGACAGGTATGATCTTCTGCTCCTATCAGGCGGCGATGCCTCAAACCCAGCCGACCAGGTGCTAACACATTTCTCAGCAAGCCGACAAGTTTCCACTGAATATTCTCGTTTCAACACCGAGCACAATATTTCTCGGCCTCGGAGCATTTCTCTGGATACCCCTGTCGGTAGCCATCGGGAGACGGCCAGTCTTTTTGCTAGCTTCGTGTTTTATGACAATCGCTACGGCCCTGGCTGCGAATGCCTCGGGTTTCTACCAGCTCCTCGGGGCTTTGAGTTTGCAGGGATTCTCGGCCGGGTTGAGCCTGAGTGCGGTATGTGACGGCCCTTCTTTCTCCGTCCTTCTTCCCGGTGCTCGACTAACCTAACTTGTGTGTTCTGCAGTCCATCTTGATTGTCATTGACTTGACCTTCATCGACGAGCGCCCTAATGCTCTAGGCATGTTCTGGAGTATCGGGTGCGGCGGTGGCCTCGTGTCCCTCCGCATCGTCCCGGCACTCGCGGCCCCGGGATGGAGAAGCTTCTATACCGCTTGGCTCGTCCCTTGTCTCGCCGTATTCGTTTGCGCCTTCTTCTTTCTGCCCGAGACATACTTCGTCCGCCCAGCCGTTGCCTTTGACGGCCACATCCTCGTCCAGGGTGGTTCGGAAAAGGTCAAGATGTACGACGACTGGGAAGAGCTGCCAGGCGGAAAGACCAGCGAGGTAATCCAGCCCGAGGCTGTACCCGAGACGGTCTGGCAAGGCATGGTACGGCGATGGGGAGTGCGCAAAAGCGGTGCAGGGTTCCGGGAGATGTGGACATGCTATGTGCAGACGATGCTCTGCGCGTGCAATCCCCTCGTTTTCTGGGTCGCGATCCTTAACGCCCTCAACTTTGGCGCAATGATCTTCATTGGCGAAACGTACGCGGTGGTCATGTCCCAGCCGCCGTATAACCTCCCCGAGCGTGTCATCTCCATGGTTAACCCTGTCTCGGCGATCGGTTCCCTTCTCGCTTGGCCCGTGTCGACCATCCTGACTTCGCGTGTTGCCCGCCGTTTGACACTCCGTAACGGCGGGATCCGAGATGCGGAACACTACCTCATCGCCTTTCTCCCGGCCGTCCTGGCTGGTGCGGGCAGTATCTTCTTGTACGGCTTCACCGTGCACTACAAATGGAGCTTCATCTGGATCTTCGTCTCCTACCTCATCAACGCCTTCAGCGCGGCTGCGTACGGCATCGCTTCAACGCTTTGGGTAACGGAAGCCTTTCCTCGGTGGGCGGCGCCAGCTATGGTCATTGTCGGCGGAGCGGGGTACATGTTGAGCTTTGCGACGAGCTACGCTGTTACACCATGGCTCAGGTCACAGGGCTACCTGGGTGCCAACTTCGAATTGGGCGCTATCCTCCTCGTCGTGGGTGGTGTTGCTGTGCCCCTTGCTTTCTGGGGAAAGAGTTTGCGACAGTACATTGATGGCCGGTGGGGTGTTTCGGAAGCTGGAGCGTTGCGTCCACAATAGGAAATCGCGGCAAACAGAACGTGAATGGAGTTTGCGTGTACCCATGTATGGCCCAGTCACTATCATGGGAGGTTGGTTATATTACAGCGTTGAGGCCCTATTTCCTTGGTTCTCGAAGCTCGTCAACGAGCAAGACCCGATCGTCAATGATAATCATAGTCACTAAGGCTGAGTGTGGACCCAATCCTTGCGTTGTGATGCCCTGCTATATAGCTCTTGAGACATTGGTCAAGCTCAAACCATTCCAAGATCCTTATCTGGAGTAGTATGGTGATCAATAGTAGAGAGGAGGCTAATTGGCGTCCACTCCCCGCCGAGGAGATTTTGCTCCATGGCAAAGTACGCATCTGCCCGAATGCGAGAAACACCGGCAGATGCTATGAGCGAAACCGATTCAGTGGGCGGGATCGGAGTATCTAGAGTGTGCTTTGAGTTTCCGCCCCGGTAGAAGAAGTCACGTTGCTTCCGTGTGGGGAGCCGTGTCTCAACGGACCCGGGGTTGCTATCGAGCCCCAGCACAAGTGTCTCCTCTATTTCAACGGCGGAAGGATCGGATGCGATACTTTCGTAACTATGGGATGAGTGTAACGCCGTGGTGTGTGCCTCAGTGGCCGGCAAATGACGATTGCCAAGACCTTGGGATAACGGTTGCTGGAGGATTCTCAGACTCTCGGCGAGTTTCTCCATCTCCATGTCGTGGGCGAAGGTATCGCCAGAGCAGAGATTACCAAACAGGTATCGTATACTCGTGGTGTTTCTGAGCCAGTCGACAGGATTCACTGTGCAAGGCCACACATCCTTGGGGCGAAAGATTCGAACCAGGTCACATAGCTCTTGATAAGACGAATGCCGGGAGTAGGGAAACGTGATAACTCTCGGCAGTTTCCCGCTTAGCCCGTCTATTGCTGGTTGCGTGGTTTGTGTGGATTGCTCCTCCAGGTGCTTCTTTCGACCAACTGCTTGGAAGGCGTCCATGATGGCCGCCTGATTCTTCTCTCCAAATGACGCAATATCGAGATCCAGAGAAAGGCTTCGCCCCGTTTTGGCACCCGTTTCGAGGAACTCGGAAAGACGAAGCTTTGCCTCTGGGGAAATATCCGCATCTTCGATGAGCTTCGAGACTGCCGTGATGTCTTCCGTTGACAGAGGGTCGAGCTCAGCGTCACGTTCAAGATCATCTCCGCCGCCGCCAACACCCACTTCAGCAATGTCAGCACCGCTCCTCAGATGCGCGATGATTGGCTGAATTGACACCACTTTTGAGTTTTTCACCGTGTTGCAGAGGTTTCCCCTCTCGCAACTATGAAGTCGAACATTCTCATCCCGGGTGAGGCACCCGGGGTGGGGTGTATTCCCACATACGTAGCCTGCCAGAGCAGGAGCTTCTGGACATAGATGAACGGAAGAGCTGAAGCGATCATTCGATACCTTGCTAGTGAGAGACGAAAAGATGCGCATCTTGTAGTCGTCGACATGAATGCGGGAATTGAGAGCTTTGGCCAGAGCTATCCAGACGTGTTCGTATCCATAAGTCCATGCTTGGATGTGGAAGACGGTGTTATCTGGGTATTGCGCTATTTTGCGGAGTAATTCTGCAATGCCTTCGGCCTTGGTCTGGAAGGGTATGTCCTTGATGAAGGAGGTGTCAAGGTAGATTTTATCGAGCGTCTTCATGCCAGAGGTGTACTCGATCACGGCTGGGTTCCTTGCAATCGTATTCACAAACCATGGCTCGCTCCGGATGTCGCCCGTGTAGAGTATGGCGCGATACGAATCCTCAATGAGGAACATAACAGCACCAGGGCAATGGTTTGCATCGAATAGCGTGACCTGAATGTGACTGCCTGGCGACAGCTCCAACGTGGTTGGGGTCTCCAGGGGTAACGGCTTGAGCAGATTCTTCAGATGCTTGTACGTCTGCACACGTGCCTCGAGGATTCCTTTGGCGTGTTTGATGCGACAAGGGTAACGCTCGAGACGGAGGAGCATCTCCCGAGTGGCTGCGGAGCAGTAGACGAAAGGGGACCGTAGGGAGTCAAGCCCAGCCAAGTGGTCACTGTGTATATGGCTCAGGAAACACGCGAGAGGCGGACGACGGTCTGGATGCTTCCGAAAGAAGTCAACTGTAGAGTGGTAAGTGATATGCCGCGATACAGATATGCCTGGTTGTGCGAGGTGAATCCTGTGAGGCAGCAGACTGATCGCTGTGTGCATTATTGGGCAGGGGATTTACCTCGTATGTCAGGGAACTCCGCGACGAGTCCGTTGAATGTCGACATGGTGCCGGTCCTTCATTATTCAGGCGGTAGTAACACGAATAGCAATCATGCGATGCTGTTGAGAAGTAAGGTTGAAGTCGCGTCGGGGAAAGAAGGTGAAGTCACCTGAAAGATGAGCACACAACTCGGGAAGGAAGCTCCGATCTACTTCTGGAAGCTGCCAGCTGGTGGCAGCCGCTCGAAGTGGAGTCAGACGAGCCGGACGGCCCAGTCGGAAATAGTGGGTCGTCGCTCCGGCTCCGAACTCACAGATCCGGAGATCTTTGTAGCTGAGTCTCGGTCTCGTGCTCATCCGCAGGAATTGCCTACATTCTTCCTGATAAAGGCCCTTAGAAGCTAAGACCATATTCTGTTGAGTACATCAGATCAATAAGCGCATTTGGAGCCCGCAGGAGCGGGTATGGATGCAAGACTCAGGCCAGGGTGCTCATTGTTGCACTTGGACGATGGGGCAAAGTCTCAACTCCGAAATAGTGGGGCTCAACTCCGGAAGCCGTTCGTCACGGTCAAGTTTACGAGACATCGACATCGACTGCAGCCGTATTTAGACCAATGCCTCCTTCTTCCGGTCTAAAGAGCAAGGAATTACTTCAAACTCTTCTCAAAATCGTCAACCTCACTTAAGAAGACCAAAGCCAAAGATGACCCCTCCAAGTGCAGAAAGAACACTCAACGCCGATAATACGGAGACGCACTCCTCATCTGATCAACCTCACGAACCATACACCATCTTCGATAAACACCAGAAAAGAGTCATTATATCTCTAGTATCGATTGCAGCCACTTGTAAATCAATCCAGCTATTCCGAAGACATTGGCTTCTCTGCTGACCTAGACCACAGTCTCAGGCTTCGCCTCAAACATCTACTTCCCAGCCCTCCCCACCGTCGCCGACGACCTAAGCGTCTCAGTAGAGCTCGCCAACCTCACAGTAACCACCTACCTCATATTCCAAGGTCTAGCACCAAGTCTATGGGGTCCAATCTCCGACGTCAAAGGCCGACGAGTCGCCTACTGCTGCACCTTTGTCGTATTTCTCGGCGCGTGCATCGGTCTCGCAGAAACCCAAAACTACGCAACGTTGATCATCCTCAGATGTTTACAGAGCACCGGTAGCGCGAGCACAATTGCTGTAGGCTCTGGGGTCATTAGCGATATTACGACGCGGCAAGAGAGGGGCGGGTACATGGGCGTCTTTCAGGCCGGCTTGCTTGTTCCAGTTGCCGTTGGGCCCGTCATTGGAGGTGCTTTGGCCGGATCTTTTGGATGGAGGAGCATCTTTTGGTTCCTTGCAATCTACTGTGCTGTGTTCCTCACATTGCTGTTACTTCTACTTCCAGAGACTCTCAGGTCTGTCGTCGGCAATGGTACCAGAACACCAAAGGGTTGTCTGGGAAAGTATCCCTTGATCATCTACCAACGGACCTCGGAGATATCATGGCATGCCAACAGAGCAACTTCAAATAAGGCACTTGTCAAGCACGTCGACATCACCGGACCCCTCCGGATCCTCTTCAACAGATGCGCTGCCCCTATCGTGTTCTTTCTCGCCGTCTACTACGCGGTATGGCAGATGAGCATCACAGCCATGTCAAGTCTTTTCAAGTCACGCTACGGCCTATCAGAAACCCACATTGGCCTGGCGTTCATCGCAAACGGCGTGGGCTCCATGATCGGCACGCTAGTCACGGGCAAGCTTCTCGATCTTGACTATCAGCGTGTCAAGGCAAAGTATGACGAGAGCAATGACCAAGAAAGCAGCACCCTTACGGGCTCGGACACCAATGCGGGGTTTCCAATCGAAAAGGCGCGTCTTCGTCTCATACCAATCTTCGCACTTCTCCAATCCGTCTCCATTGCAGTCTTTGGATGGACGATCAACTTCCCTCGCCAGGTACATATCGCAGTGCCCATCATCTCGACCTTCATCACGGGCTGGACCGCCGTTTCGACGCAGTCTCTGGTCATGACGTACCTCATCGACATCTTCCCCGACCGCAGCGCTGCAGCTAGCGCTAGCGTCAACCTCGCCAGGTGTCTTTTCGCCGCTGGCGGCACGAGTTTTGTGATGCCCATGGTGAGCGGGATCGGGGTGGGGTGGGCTTTTACTTTGTGTGTTGGGGCTCAGCTGGTTGCACTCATAGGTGCGGGGGTGCAGTGGAAGTTTGCCGCGCGGTGGAGGGGGGACATGGGCAATAGCTGATCAAGATCTTGAAGAAGGTACGACACATATGAAGTGTCTGGAAAAGTTGTTGACACGATCCAAGGTTGAGTAAAGCGTCCCTGAATCAGAGTAGACAAAAGAAAATGATATTTCCCCCCTTTATGGACAGCCCATGTAGCAACCTGAAGATATCATCTTGGTCAGCTGTCTCTCTCGAAAAAACAAATTATGAAGTCTCGCTGGAGGGACCGTAGCGTGAATCTGAAAGTCTCTCCAAGTAAAGGGACGTAGGAATTCAAGTGACTCATTGGTAGTAATGCGGAGAAGACCCGGAGGGTGTGACTTCAACTTGTTGGCCCCGTTGCCCCTCAGCCTGACATCGATGCATGGTGAACTCTCCAACTCTTATCCATCTATCATTACACAGTCCAAAGAGCTTTGATATCGGATAGCCAGGTGATCGAGTCACTTCATGAGAAGTCAGCGGCAAGATCATTCTAATGCCCCATGATCAGTCTTCAATTAGGCATCTTCAAACCGCCATCCCTATCACTGATTACTTCTCTCTTGTAGTCGTAAACTTTCCCAACTCTAGGCACTGCTAGGATACTATACAACGACTCCCTTCATTTCCTCCTTTGTATGAGTGTAAATCTGTTCGAAAGAGATTGAAGATACAGCGCGGTCTCGAAAGCACATCGACCATCCTCCACCGAAGAACGTCTTCTACTATAAGCTCAGCTCGTGGAGTCTTGGAAAGATGTAGAACTCTTCGAGCTTCGGTCTTGTGCTTGGGAGAGAGTGTAAAACTGTTGAACGCCCTATTCTGAATCCAATTTCAAATTTATCGAGTCATGCGTATCGCCGTCTGACATGGAAAACTTTGCAAAGTGTTTAACATTGACTCAGTTTGAGCACTGTTAATCACAGCTGGAGGCCTCTCTAATCGACGAGTGACTTCGCTATCGCCTCTGGAGATATCGAAAGGTCGTGGACTCCATCAAGAAATTCACTCGTAGCTCCACCAAGGTCTTGTCACGAGTCGTAAGAGAGTGAAGTCATGAGAAAAATCTTAGTCGCAAAAAGCACGATGATCGGCAGTCGATTGCACGACACAATCGACTCATGATGGATGAGGAAGAAACAGCCGGTAATGGTATTCAATGAATAGTCCACAACAGGTCGCCGAAAAATTAGAATCTCCACCCCGCGATGGGGCCGCGAAATCTGCAAAGACTTGAAAGCCACCCTCCGCTGTTTTCAGGACCATCATAATCAGGGTTCAATTGTGAGTCAAGTAGGCTGTGATATTTACGGCGTCAGGGTGGTGGCGTCAGGGTGGTGTAACTTGCGTGGCTGCGGAGAGAGTTTTCGGGTTGACGAAGACGTCAGCCAAAGTTGTCTTCCCTCAAGGCTCAAGGCCTCAAGGACCTGATAGCTTTCGACTTGTGAGAAAATGTCGCCGACTCGTGAAGCCATCTTCGCCGAACCCAGCAAAACGCACATGAAATATGTAAGCCACCGAGAGTTACAAATGGAATTACCCGCAATCAAGGACCTCAGGGTCGCCGAGCAGTCGGGGCCTGGCCTACCAAGGTCGTGCCACGCTCGTAAGGGTACGTGCCTCTTCAGCATATGAGCCCGTGAGGATGCTCGTATTTCGAGATTCTCATACCAAGCTTACTGTCTCTCTCATAATGATGCCGATTTCGATCAACATTGCCGTCCAGAAGCCGCTCCCCGGGGTCGAGCCTGACACGACCAGCACCAAGACGGTTCAGCGGCAGTCCATGCAACAGCCGGCAAATCGGCTCAGGTTCGACCTGAAATGCCGCTACTACGCAACTCGAGATGATATTCCCCAGTGCTTGACATCATTGTGGAGGTATCTGCTTCTCCCAAAGCACCAAAAACAACTGGCAGGATGGGAGTTGCTGGGGAGAAGGTTGAGACGTGGGCAAAATATCGAGGACAAGACGCCGAAGATTGTATTTTTGGAAGTGAGTCAACTGGTTTCCCAAGCACGAACGCCCGTTCTCAGACATCACTGACATAAAATAGATGAGGTTTGCTCATATTTGGCTGACCTACGACCAAATGGGCGTTGCGAGACGTGCGTTTTTGGATACTATGGAAGCCCTTAGAGACATCATGTCAGGGTTGGCAAGGGCGAATGCCGACGAGCGAGGCACTCTCGATTGGAGGAAGGTTTTTTCGTTTGCTTGTCATCCTCGCATTGCCAGTGACTGTAAAAGGCCGTGGGGCATCGAGCCAGCAGGATATTACTGTCACCCTCTCGAACAGGGTGGGCCAAGTGGTAGTGCGCAGAAGGCAACCCAGGAGCTTCTCCTCAAGTACATGGAGGTATGCTTCAAACCCGGCCGAGTCTTGACTATGTGCGGAACGCTGAAAGAGCATGCTCAGGTGACAGATCCCGTTTGTGGAATGAAATTGGCAACGACCTCGAGTTCCGTCGCCCTTCGAGAGGCTCGCAGGCGAGTTGACCGGAGCGACGACAACACACAACCTCTCTGGAATGCCATTATGTTTTCTTCGGTTCTCGGGCCCAACCCTCTTCAGCTCGATGTTGACTTGGCCGTCTTCACAACAAAGAAGGTCGTCAAGTGGTACGACGAGCTTCTTTCCTTGTGTAAGGTTGCTGTGCAATCTCAAGGCATTGAGAGTCGAGTGGACATTGCGGTCGCCCTTGCTAAAAAACTGCAAGTAGCGTCTGAACGGGGGGACGCCGCATCAGATAGAGTGTCGGTCACATCCGAGTCCGCGTCTGAGAAGACTCTCTGTGGTGAGAAAGATTGGGGTTTAGGCAAGGTGACTGTTGTTGAAATCGAGGATGTCAGGGATTCGGCGAGGTACGAGGATCGAGAGGAGCTGGCTCAGCCCAGAAAGGCAAGATGGTGGAGAAGAGCGCTGGCATCTTTCGTCACCAAAGTCCGGGCCTCGCATCGCCAACGGCAACAGGAGGAGGCAAACAAGCTCGTTCGTCGTTCATTGGAGATCAGCCGCAAAAGAACCGAGCTGAGCAAACGTGTTGTTGAGTGCAAGCCTCTTCCCGAATTCTACTTGAAAAGTCATCCAGGTAACTGACACCTATTGTAACCTACAGTCAGCGCCGAAGTCGAGCAACTACGTCTTACATCCAGGGGATTCATTCTGCAGCTGAAACTACAGACAAAATGGCGTCATGTCCAGGCAGTGGCGCAACGACCCGGAGTTACCATGGTCGAGGTTAGCAAAGTGACGACTGTCAATATTGACCACTTGTCGTGTGAGCGACGGCGGACACAGGCGATCCGCGAGAAAGTGGGCAAATTGAACCGGGCAGACGATGCCATGATGCAGGGAGTAAGAGATATTTTGGAGCGCAGCAAGAAACTCAACAAGGAGCTCAAAAGCTTGCAAAAGGACCTGATGAAGTACGCCTATCGGTATGAACCCAGAGCAAGCTTGGGACGGCGGGGGACACTTGTATGTTGCGGGTGATGGCCAGAACGAGCGAGGGGCTGCATTTGGTGGAAAGGATTCGTGCATATATGTGAACCATCAAATTGAACTCTTCTTCCGACTTTGGATTTTGAATAGTGACAACCAAACGGGTGTGTCACATCTGTAAATGCTGAGCATAGATTCATGGATATGGGCTTTCTGACTTCTGAGTTGCTTCGAAAATAGTCGCTCGCGTGGGGGTATGTCCTTGTGGGCTCCTGAAGAAGCGCGTTTGCGGGGCTCAACGTTCTGGCAGCAGCAGCAGGGACAGCACGGACAGACCCTTGATGCAGACAGCGCGGCGGGAAGGCCTTGGGGCGCGCCGTTGGACGATCATCGCTGTGGCTACGATACCCTGCAGCCTAGGGCGTTTTCTCTGTCTGCCATTCTTTGCACAAGGCGACGTGCGCAGGCCATGGAGACAGGAAATGGCGAAATAACGGGCTTGTCCATTTGGCGTCGTCACATTCTCCTATTTCGTGGAATGCTCTTGATAAATCTTGTTTCCCTCGTTCGATACCTCAATATTCGGGGATGTGCGCCCCTGAGATGAAGAGCTCGCCATGTGAAGCAGGAACAGCACGGTGAAGGGGTACGAGAGCGGGCGTGGCGTTTGCTGTGGTCATGGGGCACGCTTGCGCTGCACGGTTCAGGCGGACGTTGCCGCTGAAGAAGGATGGAGATTCGATCTTGAGATAGAGTAACCGTCGACGGTGGTTTAGACTGTAGACACGGTACAGGGGAATCTCGGGGAAGGCGCCTGTTATCCATCATCGGTGAAGAACAAGATAGACCGTAAGCCATCTGATCCGTAGCCATGAATGAGCACGGGAACGGGAGCCCAGAGCGTTAGACTCCAGAGTCCAGACACCGGGCAGTTGGGCGCCAGACGTCGCGTGCCGGGGTCGTTTCGGTCGGTCTAGAACTGGCGCGTCCTTCGCTTGGGTCCATCATGTGCTTGGTCTATCGGGGCCATCTAACGAAATTGCCGTAGCCGCATTTTGCTCGAAACTTGATTCGATGGTCACTGTATACATGCCGACGAGCGCTCGAAAACGTGGCTACATCATGAGAAATGTAGACAAAGAAGACGAAGAGAGGTATCAACGTAGGCCGAACCCCACGCCGAGTCCGAGGAGGCTGGAAGTGGGAGGGAGATAAGAAGGGCGCAGGCTCATTAACAAGGTCGGGCACCGCTGAATTGCCGGGTCTGCGCCAAGGCGGGGAAATTAAGGGAGAAAATCATAGTGAAATGCGGAATAGAGCAGAGAGGCAAAAAGAGGGGAAAGGTAAAGGTTTACGAGAGAGAGAGAGAGAGAGGTTCAAATCAGAGGGTCGACATGGGCAGGATGGGGGGAAGAAGTGGAAGATGCAAGAGAAATAAATGGAGGAGGACAGTGACAGCCAAGGGAAAGGGGGGGGGGGGGGGGAAGGGAGGGGGGGGGGGGGGGTGGGGGGGGGGGGGGGAGGGAAGAGGGGGGGGGGGAGGGGGGGGGAGGGAGGGGGGGGGGGGGGGGGGGGGGGGGACACTGGCGACTGCCAACTTTGAGCTTAAGGTACCTTAGGTAGGTACCCTAGGTGTGGTGAAGAATGGATGAAAGTGGGAAGGGGCGCAATATCAGGCCGTCTTGCCGTGTTTGATTCTTGATAAGACGCCCAAGAATCACGGGGGGGGGGGGGGTCAAAACAAATTGTCTAGGCCAAAGAGCAGGAAGGACTTGGACCGTGTAGTCAGATTAGAAGGTAACTGAAAGTACCTTCCTTACCTGAAGGAAGGGAAGGAAAGGAAAGGAAAGAAACAGTATCAGACGCAGCTGTCTAACTCTTGTGCCTTCCTTCCCTCCAACCTGGAAGTTCAATCACTGGCTGTCCCGCTCTTTCCTGTCTCTCTGCCTCTGCCTCTGCCTCTGCCTATTTCCTTCCCGTCCCTCCATCTTGCCATCGCAGGTGAACAAGGTGCTCCTTCCATTCTATCCTCTCGCAAATTCATCAAAAAAGAAGGCACGGCTTGACTCCATTCATTTGAAAGATAATTTAGTTAGCCGAAAGAAAATCAACAATACGAAAATCAATTTCCTTCACATTGCCCATGATGATCCAATATCCTAAACATGTGTTCCGACACCGCTCCTCCCGTGCAAAAGGTGTGTGTGAAGACGTATGTGTGTGGTGTGTGCCCCTTGTGACCGTCCACCACCAGCACCACCGACCGCCAGCACTCAATCAGCCATATCCGCAGTCCTCCCCCTCTCCCCTCCCCTCGCGCCGCAACACGAAACCACGTCACCTCCCATCTTCTCCTTTCTCACAACAACACCTCGCCATTCCACCACTCTTCGTCGCAAACTTACCATTTCCCATCGTCCTTTGGATTAACCCAATTCTGCAGCTTCAGAAAGCTTTTACGCGTCACTTTTACATCGTCTTTATCCAACCGTGAGTCTTTCAAAAAGTACCAACTTTGGCCCGTTTTTCCCGCCCATCGCGCCATCCGCCATTCGCCTTCAGGTTTCCCCTCCTCCCACGGATACTCTCTCTTTCTTCACGTCACTTTTTCACGAGCGCTATCACAACCACAACCTCTTCTTCTCGTCGCATTACATCTATCGCAATCGCGTCAATCTCGTAATCGTAAAGCAATAACTAACATTCCATCGCGACACCAGACCAAACGTCAAAATGGCACGTGAAGGAACCCGCTCCCAGACCGGCAACTCCAAGCCGCGTCTCTTCCCAGTCGTCGACACCGCTCCTGTTCGCAAGCAGAACACCACGACCACCACGACCGCAAAGAAGCCCAAGACTACTTCTACTGCTGCCAAGGCCGCGAAGCCTGTCGGCGTCACCAAGAAGAAGGCCACCACCGCCAAGAAGGGCCCTTCTGTCGCTACCAAGGTATGTTCATGAGACATTGTACCTAACACGTGTGGGAGGCGCGCAACTCTCTCTCTCCACCAGAACCACCTTGTAATTTCTCTGCTTCTGGCGAGAATCTTATTCTGGATTCGGTCCCATCATGTTGTGTTCTTGTCCAGCAAACCTGGGTGTCCAAGTCGCGCTTGCCACAAGAGATCAATTATTCTACCCCATCCCTACGATACAGACCTTTTTCTTGATAACTCTTCTTGTCATTACTTGATGACTGAGCTTCATCACTAACACACCTTGCGCAGGCCAAGTCGGTAGCCAAGAAGGCAGAAACCAAGGTGGCCGCGGCCACCAAGGCAGGGAAGAAGGAGACCAAGCCCAAGACCACAAAGGCAAAGGCGACCCCCGCCGTCGCAGCCTAAGTGTTTATCTTGACTGCTTCTCTCTTCGAAGCATGCCTGACGCATGAATGAGTCTCTCTCCAATCTTCAGTACGGCCGTGGCTTGCCAGTGTCTTTTCTCCTCCAAGATACCACCTTGATTGTTGTTGAGCGAGCGGACTTTTTGGACTTGCTATTTGTGACTTTGGGTTCTTGGGCGGGCGTCTTGTCTATCGGATAACTGCCTGTCTATGCGCGCCTCGTCCGCATGTTATTTTTTGGGAGGCTAGCTTCTCGTTATCCCTCTCTTTAGTGTCACGTTTGGGTTTCTTTCGGTCCATGGGGTGGGAATGCAAATAGGTAACTTACTTGTTGTGCTTGGGTCTGGGTCTCTGGGTTTGGGTCTGGGCTCGTCTGGTTTACTTCGCGTTTAGTTACTGCACTGCAGCTAGGACCGAACAGGGGTCCAATGGGGAACATTCAATCATGGATGAAGTCGGTGTTCGTTGACATCTCTGGTCTCAAGCCTGTGTTGAAAAGTGTCCACGACGTGTGGTTCTCGGCCTCACTGGCGCAAAAGATCGGTGTTGAGTGATTCGGACTCTTATGGGTGACAGCGTGTTCGAGCACGTTACTTATCTTACCTAACAACGTAGCATAAGGAAGGCGTCTGGCATAGTCACACACTCATCCAATATAAACTGGCCTGACGCCATGGGCTTTTCTTACCAAGCGTGGTCGATAGCCAATGATCAAGGGGTAGTAGCAGCGGCCACCGAGAGGAATCGTTGGTAGTAGTATATTCAAAAGTATAACGAAAGTGGTATCAAGGTGCACAAAGTGTGCCAGTACGTCTATGACACTTTTCCAAAAACCCCATTGCCCCTTTTCGCGCCCCCCCCCCCCCCCCTTTTTTGGGTGGCATACAGCCTTGGGACCCAACAACCCTCCTCCCCGTATCGAACCATCGTCGTTATGCCCAATAGGTTTATCCATCCAATGCCGCCGAACAAAAGTAATGCTGATGCTCCATAGTTTAACCAACCACAAGCGCCGTGTCCCCCATTACACCGACCAGTACAAGCTCCGTCAAAATCGAGAATGAAATCAGATGGGGAAGTTCAACTGCTGTTCCGCCCATGGGATGTTATAGTGGTTCTCCCAGTTGCGTCCGTTGCGCGGGCCCTCCTTGATGAGCTGCATCTCCCGGACTCCGCAAAACATGCCGTTGCGCCCCGTTCGCTCAACCATCTTCCACCCTTCCCGGCGTTGGTAAATCTCTTCCATGAAGCGTTGCCCTTCGACAACCTCTCTGTGAGGGTTCGGGGTCGGGAACCGTGAAAAGTAGGTAATGATCTCCTGCGGCAGGGCCATGAGCCGTTCCCAATGGCGAATAACACGCTCGAGGCGTTGTGTTCTCTTGCGATAGGCCACGCGCACGTATGGGTTCACAAAGACGCCCATGTCTGGCTCTCCGGCCTTGTCTGCGACACTCGTAACATCGGCAAGGAACAGACAGCATTCGCAGGCGTCAAAGTAGACCTCGGGTTCGTAGCGGAATCGGACTGGTGTCGTGGTGTTGTGAGGGTGATCTGGGTTAATGACGTGGTGCGCAATAGCTTGCCAGTCTTTCGTCGGCAGCTTCTTATCCAGGTTCTGGATGTACTTGGCTTGCATGGCCACCATTCCACCCCAGCAGCTCTTGACGGGGACCGCATCTGTCTGCGAGAGCATGGCCTTGCGTGAGATTGCCTGGCCCTTGTTGGTGAAGTAGGGGAAGATCGGGATGCCGTTGGAGTACCCTTCAGCATCGCGCTGCGCATAAAGGTCATACTCGAGAAAAGGGTTCCAGTCATAGTCCAAGGAACATGCCGACAGGTAGTGAGCTTTGCCGTCTTCGCCCGCATTCGTGTTGAACAGTAGATGAGCGGCGTCTACCGGCGCAAAGAGCGCGTCGTTGAGGAACAAGATCTTGTCATACTTGACAATCCCTGCATCCGTGTCGTACTGGTCCAATGGGTAGAGCGCGCGGTTGCGCATCTCGGACAGATACGCCAAGCGTTTCAACCTCTGTGTTCCATCAGGCATGGTGACATGCGGGAAGACGTTGTAGTCGACCTGACCCTCGCTGACGATCTTGTGCTTGCATGGCACATTTTTCTTAAACTCCTCCAGAGCAGCAGTACCCAAGTCACCACTGTCATTTTCGTAGATGCTAAGGAATGTGTTTTCCTCGCCAATCATGTGGATTAGGTCCAGTACATTCTTGGCCCATTCTCCCCCTGCAATCTTGCCCTCTGGGTCA